ATCAACTTGAGGACAGAATGTACAGTTGCTGCCTAATATATCCCACCCACTGACAGGTGCCATGATAACCAGATAATCAGTGTTATTCACTTCACCCGTCAGTGCTCATAATGTTATGGCTGATCGGTGTATACATGTATATATATGAAATAATATGGCAACTGTTTAATAATGGTAAAATGATGTACCTTTTCAGCTTGTATAGCTAACCATTTGTGATTCAGTAGGTTGGAGGATTCATAACCTCGGGCTCTTTGTTCACATATCTTAGATCAATGATGTGAGTTTATGTATCTGATTGTGCTCTCATAGGCAGCTCTGGATGAAGGTTTGTGCCATCAGCAAGCTGTTCGTGAAGTGCTCTCAGAACAAGATTTTCTTGTAATCTGTCTGGGAACAAATGTGACAAAGAAACTGGAGAAAAGTGCTTCAGACGCCCTGAATGAAAGCACACCTACACTTAAAACCGTATCTAAATGCCTGGTGAGTTTCTCCTCAGTCAAAGACTTCATTCTGTCATTCAATGTAATAATGACGATAATATCAGGATTTTGTGGTTAATATTTTTGTTAAATTTAATAGGTTTCACAGGTGAGTCGTGGCCATTGTGACGTGGAATTGGAAGTCGTTTTTAGAAGTGAAAGTGATGCACCACATTTAGCTTCACCTGATGAAACTCTGGCCATGTGTCCTCCTGCTTCTCCTTTCTTTTCTGCAACAGAAAACAAGGAAAACTCTGAAAGTGATCAGAATGACAATAAAATGAAAACCAAAGGTACACTGGAAACAACCAAAGAAGATGCCTTTGTTCCGCATCAATGTATAGAAATCCCTGATGTTTTTAAATCAAAAATCCAACAAGAATCACATCAATTAACATCAACTCCACCAAAAATAAACTTGGAGACTTGTCTCTGGCCAAAGGATGATACAGGCACACTGAACACTGATCCTTTAAGCAATGGGCACAGGACACTTTCTGGGAATAACACAGAGCCTTTAATGTCAGACTCACTTCCTCCTTCCATCAAGAGTTTAACAGCCCGGCAAGAGAGCACTCAACAATTGCAGGAAGACACTACCTCAACCCAAGACTTAAAATTGTCAGCTATAGGCACAGTCAATACCAAAGAAATCATTTCAGCACACTGTGTCGCATCCCTGGTTGCATCCTCAGCAACAAAGCCAGACAACTTCCCCCTTTCTACCCCTGAAAATGCATCTGAACATCTAGCAGTACAATCAGAGACATTTAAGGCCGTTAGCGATGCTAAAGAACAACAGAAACACAGTGAGGACACCAGTTTAACCCCAGAGAAAGTGTTTTCAAAAGTGTTGGACATGGAGCCACAGGACATGCATAAAGTGGAAAATGTTGGTCCGTCCTACGCACTCAGTTGTTCTCAGGGAGCAGAACTGTACAATGCACAATCAGGGATGTTTAAGGCTGTTACGGATGCTCAAGAAAAGGAGAAATCTTGTGAGAATATCAGTGTGAGACCAGATAAAGTGTTTACAATATTCTTGGACATGGAGGTGCCTGAGTTTCAGCCACAGGACATGCAGCAAAGGGAAAATGTTGGTGCCAGAGGTCTTGGTGTAATCATATGTTCACAGGGGGAAGAGGTTTGCGATGCAAAGCCTACTGAAGATTCAAGTATAGGATTTCCTGAGAATAAATCTGGACTCACAACATTAATCAGTCCTGAATCAGACGAAACAAACTTGAAATACCATGGTTTAAAGAGTGATTTAAATGCGTCTCAAGTGGCAGAAAACCCTCTGGCGTTAGGGAGTATGGAATCGGAGGAGGTAAAATGTACAAATGTCAAAATATCATGCAAAAAAACCTCAGAAACCAATGAGTTAATGCACAATAAGGAGTTGAATTCCTCCAAATCATATAATAATGTCACTGAATGTCAGCCCACTGGTGCGCATGCAGCAGAAACATTTCTGGATGTCAAACAAGAGGAGATGACAGATTTCTGTCACACCGAAGAGCAAACAATGAGTTCAGTCTTGTGCACTGTGGACCGAGATACCTTAACTGAAACACAAATACCTGCTGGTGACAACAAACAGCTGACTGTTGCTGACACTGCACAGAGCACAGGTACAGGACATTTGGAGATGGCAGAGGGAGAAATCACAGAAGAAGCAAGTGACCTTGAACACCCAGAGTCTAGACAAACAAAAGTGCCAGAAAGACAAGCCAAAGCTACGCTGCCAATAGAAGAAAGGGAACTGAATGTACCTGCATCGCTGGAGGACACAGAGGTGACACAGGGACAGGTAGATGTCATGTTAAAAATATACTTTTCTACTCTTCTTCCTTCAATTAGCTTCTTCTTTTCAGAATTTAGCTTCCCTGGTAGAAAAAGTATTTTAATGCCAGAGTTACCAACCCTTTTGGATTGAAATCCTTTAAAACAAAGCTCAACATTCCTTATATAAATAATAGGTCAGCGGCCTACACCTCTAGTCCCCCAGGATGTCCCATAAAAGATCCTGATACATAACATAATAAAAAATATATGTATATAAAATATATAAAATAATATAATATATCTACATAAGATGAAAATCAAATCATTATTATTGATGGTTGCTCTCCCGCTTTTTAAAACCATTAGAGCAAAAAAACTCTAAAATCTTTAAAAGTTAACTGTGGTTAAGGTTTTTTAACTCTGCCTGCAGAAGTCCCAGATGTTGTAGCTGAATCCACAGTCCTTGCTTTACTAAATTACACTCATCAAACTTTGACATTTACAAACCATTCTTCTTCTCTTATCTTACCTCTGTGATAGAAAAGGTATTTCTTACATTTTGCAAGTGTTGTTTTATCTCAAATTCAAACCTAAATTTAGATGAAACTTATTTGCTTTTAGTCTATTTATTCTTCCCGCCATTTGGCATTTGAATGTCATGACATTTGCCAAATTCCAGTCAGTTCTGGCATTCATCTTTTTGTGGAACTTTGTTCATCTGGTAGAAAGAAATAGATTTTTCTCATGACAAATGGATGAAGTCCATGCTGCATATTGCCTTGTTTATTGTACAGAATGGCTTATAAAGCCTAAAGCCAAAGTAATATACTGTTGATCTATACTAAATCTATTAAAAACAGTCAGTAGTGCAGTCACTGGCAAGACATGAATTATAAAATGAAAGCTGAAAAGGCAAAAATAAAGACGATGAGGCAGAAATATGAGTGTACAGACAGCAAAGCCATCAACGTAAGAAGAACCTACGTTCACTGCCAGGAAAAAAAACAAAGCTTGAGACAGTTGCCTAAAAGAGACGAAAGAAACACATATTATTACTTTACTACTGTTAATGGTAATTGACAATATCTATATAATATCTATCTTTCTTTGGCATTTTAATCATCAGGGGGCCACTCAAAACCTTAGACTTAATGGTGAGGTTTGCACTACCTGCCACATAACAAAGTAAGTTTGCTCGAATGTTTTCATGTAGCGCTCTTTAGTTTCTAGATGTCTTTTGATAGTACAAGCCACAGTCTTCAAAGGAATTGAGGAATTTCTCACTAACACAACCTGTCATTATTCTTAGTAATAACAGTGCGCCTTTGCTTTGTAAATAGCTGACATTATGAATGTCCTAAAATGTTCCTCCGAATACCAAAATATTTGTATTTAAGAAACCAGGCTTTCTGGGCCTATTTTACAGCTAATTTGAGTTATTATTGGATGCTGCCATTAGGGTGGTTCACAAGTTGTGCTGTATGTATACACAACAGTGCCAAGCTGCCTGATTAGAGGGATTGTGATTCAAGTTCCTATGACTTAAGACAAAAATAATAATAATAATAACTTATAGATACCTGAGTTCATGTAAAAAATGTTTTACATTTACATTGCTTGAGATTTTAATAAATTAAGTACACTAATATAGTGTTTAGCTTACTTATGGCACAAAGTGTACAGTATATCCAACCAGTGAAAAGTATTCATATATATAATATTTTTTTACTTCCTAACCCAGATAAGAAATCCTGCTTCCAGAAAGAAATGAGTGTTACCTTCATAATCTTCCAGTTAAAGTTGTTACATCGGTCACACCTAAAAGTTGACCCCACTTTTGAGAAAGAAATATTTGTAACTCAAACTTGACTTAAAGAGCATAAGATATTCTTCTTTATACTGTTTTTCCCTACAGCGAATCAGAAACATGCTGTACCTTTTCAAATCCTCCTCCCGCTCTACCTGTACCCTGGTACAAGACACACTTTGGTCATACCCAAAATATTTCAAAAGGCAACTCCCCTGTTTTTAATCTAGTAACCTAACAGTTCATGTCATGTTTTGGTGTCCCTGCCTAACCAAGTTATAACAGATCACTTATTCTTTAAAGAAGCACGGGAGGCTGAACTTTCTAGACGAATAGACTGAGTCCTTCTCCCTCAGGGCAGACTGCTCCCTACTCAGGCACATTCTTGTGTTAACTGTACTGACTCGCCAGGCCACCGTCAACATGGTAATATTTACCACTGTGGAGCAGGGAAAAGAACAGGAAGCTCTGTTATTATCTGTGGGCAGACACAGAGAAGAAGAAGGCTAAAATGTGACACCACCCCTGTCATCTGTGTATGTAGCCTCAGATCCAAGACAGCATGGAGTCTGAGAGGACAGCTCCGGGTTTGGCAGCTGATCTGCAGGCCGGGGACACGGCAGGTAGATCACCAGAGACCTACAAACACAAGTGCAGCATGCAGGATATTTTGTCTGAGGTCCAGAGCTGGGTGGAGAGAAGTAACATAATAAACGTGAGTATCAGCTGGTTTTAATGCACCTCACTGAGTTAGATCTGCTGTAGGCATTCTATGTCGCAAAACATGTTTCTGTGGGTTAATAAACTAATGTGAAAAGTCTGAACTTTAAAGTATGTGTAGGAAAGGTTACATTCTTAACTGATTGTGGGAATTGAGGTTAAATGAGTTGTGTGTGTTCCTGTAGTTGCACACAGTATGTTTAATGGAAAGAGAGATGAAATCTTCAGCAGGAAATGGATTGGAGTGGATGATGACGATTGTATAGCCGCATAGCTTAAAGTGTCCATAAAGGACATTTGCAGTAAACACTGAGCAGATTGCAGTGTTTTGATTGATGTTTGTGTATTCCCATGATGCCGCTGACAGGAAGATGCACAGGAAGGATCTATGAGACACAATGATTTCCTGCAGGGTCATTAGTGGGTCTAATTACTCACAGTACACAGTCTGTGACTTGCACTACCAAATGTCATGTTTAATTTTGGAAAGACTATTCATCATGTCAACATGTATAATCTTGAAAAAGACACCAAAACATGTAAACAAAGCAAACTTGAAACTTGAGCAAGCTTGAAAGAAAGGACTGCAGTTATTTTTAAGTTCATAGACAAGAACATCGCTGTAATCTGATTACCATGTTTGATTTTGTTTTTTGCTCCATTTTTGGATTGTTTTTCTCCTGCCTTTTTACATTATTATCATTAAAGCTGAAATGATTAATTCATTAATTCATTAATCAATCATTTAAGTCATTTTCAAAGTAACATTCCCTTCTCTCAGCTATTTTTCTTTGTCTTGTGATAGTAAATAAATTTGTTTTGGGTGTTGGACTGTTGGTCAGACAAAACAAGAGAATGTGAATCTGTGAATACTTCATTTTAGACTAACCCTAACCCTGTAGCAGGGATTTCCACTGTTCTCTGACATTTTCCTGACCAAACCATTAACCAATGAATCCTACAAATAATCTGCAGATTAATTGACATAGTGTACAGTGCTGTAACAAACTTTTTTCAGAAATAGTTTACCCGCTATTTTTATTTTGTTTGTTATAATATTATAGCGGACACCACACATTGATTTAACCTGGTACTTAAAGTCCTCTCCTGGCGAACCAGAGATTCGACTGCTCCGGACTGTCCAAAAAGTTCTGGCATGTCGCTATCAACCTGCACAGCTCGATGTCACCGCAATGGCCAGACAATTGCAAGAGGCAGAGGTATGTACTTCTGTTTACCACTTTTCTTTTAGTATGACAAATGTATTTTGCACCAACCAAGAGCTTCATTTTGGTAAAATGGACCTTCATTCTAAATGTCGAATCAGTAATATACAAAAATATTTTTATCTAATGTCTGATCTGTCTACTGTAGGACTACAGGCGCTGCGTTCAGGAGCAAGTGGATACTATGAAAAGCACGAGTTCTGTGAGCATTTGTGAACCAGATGCCTTAAAAAGTGTTGAAGGACAGTGGAGTGCTGCACTGCTGGATGCCTCTGCCACAGTGCAAGTCAAAGCAGCACAGCTGGATCAGGTCAAACAGTATCATAAACAGATGAAGATCATCAGAGCTTTCCTGGAGGTTCTAGCTGTTGAGAAGGACAAAATGAGCTTGTGAGTATTCTTTTGATTTTAAAGTAGGCTAATAGTTAATAGTATTTGTTTGTTGTTGTACTTGCTATGTGATACACATATATTCTTATTCTTTTTTTAATCAGAAATAATTTGGGAAGCAGTGCCCTTCAAGCTGACAAACTCCATGCCCTACTGCAAACCATGGTGCACAAAAAGAACATGATGGAAGAGCTCCTCCAGTTAAGTAGCCAGTTGTCGGTCCACTTGAGCGACGCAGAGAGTTCAGGTGCTCTTCTTGCCCAGCTTGGAGATGTCCAGGAGCAATGGAGGCTTTTAGAAGGAAGTATCAAAAGAGCTCTGCAGCATGCCTTAAACTCCACCTCTCAATCCTCCCTTCTTATAAAAGAGGCTGAACAGTTTAAAGCCAAGCTTGAAGCTCTTCAACAATCCAACTTTCAAAGCCATGACAGCAAAAGCTCTTTAGAACTTGTTTGTGTGACCACAGACCTAAAACTGTACAACCAACTTTACATGCACTTACAGTCCCAGTCAGATGCTCTTGTCCATTTCTCTCTGGGTCAGAAAGAGAAGGATGAGATCAAACATAGTCTTCGAGAATTGGGGTCCTTGCTAAATGTTACCAAGAGCAAGCATGACATTTCCACATCCAGCTGTGGTGGCATTTCTTCAGCTAAGATCAACAAGCAATTACAAGACTTGATCATATGGGCCAAGCAAGCAGAAAACCACATCTCTAATGGGAAAAAGTTAGCTCTTTTCCCAGAGGAGGCTCGTATTCAGATTGTTGAGATGAAGAAATTTCGGACTGATATTTGGTCTAGAAGGTCCAAGATGCGGGTAGAAGTTGAGCAGATGAAAGGTGTAGGCTCTGATATGGAAAAGGAGGAAAGTGACCAAGTATTAAAGACAATAGAAGACTTGTATGAAGCCATTTCTGACAGTTTGGATCATGTTCTTGACAACATGAAGAAAAATCTGCAGGAGAGGGAAAAGCTGTTATCCCAGCTTGCAAGCATGGATGCCTGGCTAGCAGAAACACATGCTAAAAGAGACCCCTGCGCCCATGTTAAAAATGTTTCAAAAGCTGACAGCAGAAAGCTGGAGAGCGAGCTGAAAATTCACAAGTTAGCCACAGTGGAGATAGAGAGCCAACTGAAACAGCTGGAAGCAATGGTAGACAGTTACAGGGAGATAGCCATAGGGTTGAGTCCAGGAGAGAGCCGCTACCTTGTCAACAGACTTTCGGGCCTCTGGACAGAATTAGATGGATTGCTAGCTCATGAGAAGGCAACCAGCTGGGAATTAGAGGAGCTGATTCATGAGAGAACCACGTCAGATGAGGAGTTATCAACCATCCAGGCTAGTTTACAGCAAATTTCCACTGATCTGCAGCAGCAGAGGTTTCCTTTAACACTGGAAACCCTTTCAACAATTGCCCGTTTGAAGCACATGCTAATGGAGCATCAGTGTGAAGTACAAGAGCTTCAGCACTGCCAGGAGGCCAAGCGAAGCTCCCTACTGTGCACCATTGGGGAACTGCAAGACCAGTGCAAAGCTCTTAGTATTAATGCCTTTGAGCAAGACAAATATCTGCACCTGAAGAGACAAATGGAGGAATCTAGGGACATTGCCAAAGAGCAAATCCAGCGTGCCAAAGATAAAACAGTCAGTATGGGTGAGAGGTTTAGACTATGCCAAACACTTTTGGTTGAACTTCCTTTGGTAAAGACTCAGTGTCAAGAGGCAGCGGACCAGTTAGAGGCCATAGCCCAGGAGTTGTACCCATCAGAGCTTAATTCAGAGAGGCAGAGAATTTGCTGCACTGTGGAAACTTTAGTCTCCTGGGAGTATTCTGTCACAGATGATATCAAATACCTAGAGGCTAAGCTTCTGTTGGGTCTGCGTTTTTCCTCTGAGCTTCCTGCCTTAATGGAACTTTTCCAAATAACAAGAGTGGAGCTAGAGGGTGCTGAACCAGTTAATCCAGATGAAAAAGCCATAGATATTGCACTACGAAGGTGCTGGGTAATTTGGAGAAATATGGAGTCTGGAATGAGGGTGTTGGAAGGTCTGGGACGGAAAGAAAAAATTAACCTGAAGAACTACAAGGAACTTTACTCCCTTAAGGATGCAGCCAAGCAAGAGTGCCATTTACGAATGGTAAGTTTAAATGTTCTGGGTTATTCCAGCCTACATTTAAGAATTTTTGATTTAACATTTCATACTTTGATGTGTTGTTTTTCTAAACTATGCTTGATCATGTAACATGTATTCAACAGGAGAGTTTATCCCAGGCGAGAGAATCCTTGAAAGATTACCAGTGGGCTGCTCAGGGAGCAATTGGCTTTCTTCATAATGCTGAAGCCACGTTCTTATCAGCTCCTGGAGGGTTTTTGGACTGCACTGAGGAACAGAGACAGACTCAGCAGGCTTTAGAAGCTCTTGAAGAGGGATTTCAGGCTCATATCTGTCACCTTGGGGAATTGGTGCCCCAACAACCTTGCCTGTCCCGCCCAAAGACTGAGCAGCTCCACATCAGCATCCTCAGTCAGTTGCTGGTGGGAAGAGCCATACTGGAGGCGCAAGCCCAGCTCAGGCTGGAGTCCTTGCAGAGGTACTGGCTATTAACCCTAACCTCATTGAAACACTTCTGTATAACTTTTGTCTTGTGTTGTTGTGATTATTTCTGTGTTTTTATTGTTCATAATTTTAATAAAGTAAAAACAACTAAAACACAAATTTCTCACAGGTGTGAAATAAGAAAACAAAGCCACAGGAAGTGTCATGAAGACGTACGTCAACGTCTTTCAGGGTTTGAAGCTAAGCTTTCAGAATGCACTGCAGAACAAGTGACGTCATATGACAAATGTGTTGCCCAACAAAAAAGAGCTACGGTAGGTGATGCAAAATTAGTTTGTCGATGATTAGCATGAATTTGTCTACATACACTGAATCTACTTAAACCTTGCATGTTATAGGTTTTGACAATTTATAATTGTTGGCTAATGGCATGGCTCTATGGATGTCAGTGTCACTTGGTTGGTCTGTCATTCTGTCAGTCCACCACTTTGGCCCAGGATAAAATATCTCAAAGACTATTTGATGGATTTCCATCTCCACATTTTTTTAAATTTTTATGGGCACCAGAGGATGAATACTAATGATTTTGGTGATCCCCTGAATTTTGACCTCCAGTGCCACCAAGTGAAATGTCTCTATTGGATGTCTTTTCCCAATGAAATTTGGTACAGACATTCAAGTCCCCCTCAGGGTAGATGGGGTTTGGTGATTACTTGACTTTTTATTTGGCATCATCAAGTCAAAATATCTAATACAAAAATACAAAATGACTAAATTCCAAACTAATCACATTTTCTCAGCTGTTTTGTGCTAATTAGTAAATAGTGAATGTTGTAACCTGCCAAACATTAGCATGTTAGCATTGTTGTTGTGAATATATTAGCATTTGACATCAGCGTTTAGAATGGCTGTAGACTTTGTCTTGTTGTCACTGGTTTGGAGTACCACATGTACCTGTAGTATTGTCACAGGAATGCACTGGAGATTTTGACCAAAATTTGGTACATGTAGAGGGAACGCTGTCTGATTTAAACTTTAATTTGAACTTAATTTAATCTCTTCATAAAGCTTCTAATGGAAGATCTTCGCTGCCTCGCTGGTAAGATAGAAGAACTGAGAGCTGGATGCCCGATGCAGGGCTGTGGGGTTGGAAAGGATGGCGAGCTAGGTGCCCTCTGGAGACGCTGGGTATCATTACGACGTGGTGTCGGCCTCCTGATGGCACACACAGAGCAGAGAGGAGAAGAATGGAAGGACGTAACTACAAGTGTGAGTTTTACCAACAAAAAATCCTTTTACAACTTTTGTATCTCAACATGTACATCTACATATGTACACCTAATGGGTGCAGGCCTCAGAGTTCCCACTTTGCCTTTTTCTTAATAAAGGTTTACTGTGTCAAGTGACTTTTATTGCTTTCTGTGACAAAATTGGGTTATTGAAGCATAATATACAGGACAAGAAAAATTAATATACAGAAACAATAAATATTAAATTTCATTCTTTTCAGATGGAGCAGTGTTGCAGCTTTTTGGCCAGTCTTCAGGCTGACGTCCCCGACTCCTCCACTGTGAGCTTCACTCAAGAAGAACCCCTGGAGCTTCTGGCTCAGGCTGAGATACACCAGGCTGGACTGGAACAGGAGCAGCAGGCCTTAGCTTCCCTGGAGCATCGACTGGAGCATGCCCTGAACTTATCTAGTTGCGAGGATCCCATCAGCCCTGGACCTGTTGGCAAAACACTTGTGAAGATCCAGGAGAACGTCAGGAGGTGGGATTTGTTTAATATACATGTGGAAAGTGATTACTCTTTAATGTCAGAGATGCTGAGAGGATACTGTTCTCCACAGCTTGCAAGAGAGAAACCTGCTGGTGGTAGCTGCAGCCCAGGCAGAAGAGAAAAAGAGAAGCCAATTCCAAGAGGAGATAGGAGAGGTGGAGCAACACATGTTTTTCATTCTTACCTCACTGGAAGCCTGTTCCGATCCATCCATCCAACAGGTCAGGCTCCTTTTTATGCTCTATAATCCAAGCTTAAAAATTGGAGGTGTAGATGTGTCAGAATGCAGTTGAAGTGACATTTAAAAAGCAAAAAATGTACACATGACATTTTATACTTAAGCAAAATAATGATATAGACAAAAAGAGTGTCTTTCAATCTTTTTTACTTGTTTATGTTTGGTTATTTATCAATGATGAAATAGTGAAGTTATAATAAGGTATAATTTTATGTTATGTTAAAGTTTCTTTTAATGTCAAGATCTGTTTAGAAGCCCTTCACAGCACCAGAGAGAAATATAAATTGTGGTCACAGGCCTGTTGGAGCTACATGTGCTCTATGTAGCATGTAGATGTATAATTAGATTACAGACCCTAAATGATCTTTTCAAGTCAATGTTGGTCTAAACAGTCATCAGCCAGTCATCAGTCTCTTTAAAGGTAGACCATACTAAACTTGTGAGGGTCTTCTGTAAGTTTACCTTCAGCCTTTAACTGGGAAATAAGTTAAACAAATTTGGAAAGAAGGGATTGACAGCTCAACTTTTGACTCTGTCTCTAAGTCTGTCATATTTCTTGTCCACACTGACAGGAGCACAGAAACGATTTGTCCTCCCAGAAGGCCAAACTAAAGCGTATCGTGGACGGTGTGCAGAGCCAGTATGCTGAGATACCAGCTGATATCAGCAGAAGGTTACAAGAAGTTCGACTGTCTTTACAAAGAGAGGAGGAGAAGGTAACTGGATCTGAGTCCATGAATTATCTCCCACTAAAACTTCTTATATTTTTCTAATTGTGTGCATGTCTGTGGTCATCCTGCAGCTCATGGAAAGCCCAGTTCGGAAGCTGGATAGTCAAGTGGTGGAGTTGGCTACTGGACTGGAGAAAGTGAAAGCGTTACTGGAACAAAGGAGTCCAACAGTCAATGAAGCACAAAATTTACTCAAGGTGTTTGTTGGTTTATGTTTGCTTGTCTGTATGTGAATATTAGCTAAACTTTTTTTAAACTTAATTTATTTTTCTTTTAAATCACTCTTTTGGAATTGATAAGAAATACCAAATTTTTTAAAATTACTCTTGAATGTCACATTTGATTTGAACAGTTAGCATAACTGAGTTTGAGGTAAACGCCTCTACTTGCTATGTTTGCATTTGTGCAAATGTATGTAGACATAAAAAATCAGAGTGACTAACTGACCAGAAAGTGTAGTAAGCTAGCCAAAAATTATTACATTATCACCTCAAAGCCCTGCATACTTGACATTGTTTGTTCTCCAGCGCGTGTGGGATGAGCTGGATGCATGGCACAGTCGCTTGATGCTCCTGGAGAATGAGGTTCAGGATCTTGCGGAGGATCATCCAGATCAAGCCCACCTACTCATGGACCAACTCACCCAACCACTGCAGCTCTACCAAAACGCAGCACAGATGGCCGAGCAACGCACCGCCTTCCTCAGCAAGGTCGGGCATGTTTACACTGTACTTTATTGCACCATGGGACCACGGTTTGACTTTATTATGTATCTTGAAAATGTACAGATCACAGGTATATCAATGTTGAAAATGGCTTCTAAAAATGTGTCTACAGAACTTCTGAAGCCACCTTCTGCTTCCTTATATTTTCTATACTCCTTTGTCAGATCCCTGCCTGTCTTCAGGAGTTTGAAGACATTGTGTACGGTGCCACCTGCTGGTTAGACGAGGCCCAGTCATGGCTCACTGCTCCCTGCTCATTCACAACAGCCAGAAGCCTCCAGAATCATGCAAACTCCCTGCAGGTCAGAAATACCAAATAACCAGCAAACAAACACAGAAAACCTTTGAAGCTTCTGAAAATCCATGACAACTAATTTCAAATTACGTATTAGGTTTATTCATTAAAGGAATAGTTCAGGTTTTTTGCAGTGGGGTTGTTTGAGGTACTTGTCTAGCTAAACTTCCATTACACACACATATATATAATGTGTATTTTATACAGTATATCTGGTTTAGTCTGGTGACTTTGCAGAGAGCATAAATGGATAAAATGGCTTCAGTTTCCCATTGGAAAGGGCTGACTGATGGTAATGTATAAAATCAATATAGCATACACTTATCCTCATATACATGTTTTTCTAAAATATTCTAAACTAGAATAGCTTTTGTCCTGGGACTCCTCTCTGCTTTAGATAATACATAGACTATGAATAAGTACCTCATACAACCCCACTTCAAAAAACTTGAACTATCCCTTTAATTTCATTCATGTATGTATTTAACACCTACATTATAATATCGTTTCATTCATCAATTATATTTCCCACTGCACATGCCAGGCTTAATCAGTCTAATAGACACACATATTTCATGGTATGGATGCACTTTATTAAATCCTGAACTACAGCTGGTCCTGGATGACTCTGAGAGGATCAGACACGCCCTGCAGGACTTCAGGCCAGTCCTTGATGAGATCTCTGCTGTGTGTGATATGAGCACACAGGAGGAGAAGCTGGACCAGAATGACCAACAAGTCCACAAAATGCAACTCAAGATCCTAGAGCCACTGGATCAGCTCCTGCAGGCTGTCCCGGTAAGACTTTTAAAAAGAGGAATTCCACAAATTTTAGGTTGTCAGGTTGCTAGTGACCCAAAATGGCAGTGGGAGGAAACTGCAGGGATTAACCCCTACATTTTGGTTCCTCCCACTTCCTTTGTGCAGAGAAGACTTTCTTTCAGTGAGCAGATGTAACACCTGACTTCTATTTTGGCAGATAACTGAATCTATTGAATCTTTCAGTGGATGGGATGTTCTTCTTCTTTGTGTTGTGGCCACATTTTGAAATTTAAGGCTGATGAAACAGACCATTAGTGAGGACAGGAAACATGAAAGAGAACAGAACTGAACCAGGGATATTGTGGCCCACTTTGATACATGTTTCCATCATATAAAACCAAAAGAAATGCTGTCAGTAGCATCTTGAAAGTGCAATGCTGTCGATCAACAAGACATTTGTATGGCCCGTTATATTCTTGTACGTGTAGCATGTGAAATACTCCTGATTATAAAAGTCATGTCACTGAAAAAGTTGCTGGAAATCTTCATATCAGGTGGTGGAGGCAATAGAAGTGGAGCTAAAGACGATGGAGAAGAATGTCCTGAAGATCAGAGCAATTTTATGCTCCTTGGATAACTCTAACATCACTCTAACGGAGCATCTTCAAAACCGACAGGTGATACAGTGCATGTCTAATTTTATTTACGAATTTCATGCAAATAGTTTTGACAACAAGGCACACATAGAACATGCAAACAGCAGTGTAATAGTACAGATGTGAAACACTTCAGGCTTAAAAGGATTTTAAAAACAAGGTTTGAAAGAATTCTCTTATGGAACCATCTTGTCTGTATGGCAGGTAGGTTGTGCGTTTAGATGTTTCTCACTGAGGAAGGAAGGATAAAGTTCTTCCTTAAGCATAATATGACATCTCACAACTTTTCTCTCTGTCTACCAAACTAAATCAGTGATTTAACAGTGTTCAGTTCACATTGTATTGTATCCTTCCAAATGTTTTTGGCCGTGCTAGATTTCTTCTACAAAGTAGGCATGGTACCATAACTGAAGCACAGATGTACCATAACACTTAACACTTTCTAATACCTTCCCTTCAACGACAACATGACTGAATATTGTTATACACTGAAGGTTTTATATGACAGCCAACAAAGTAAGTTATTCATAAGACAAAAAAGTTAAAGTTACTGTTTTATCAGTTCATCTGTTTCAACCTGAAGGTGATCTTGGCCAACGTGCAGTCGATGCGTAGGACATTGGAGGAGATGGAGAGATGCAAAGAAGAGCTTCACCTCCCTCAGGGAGCACAGGAGGGCCTGCTGGTCGTCTCCAAAGCCAGACTGCTCCTGCAGCCACTCGAAGAGCTGGAGCAACTCACCCATCAACAAACCACCCTGCTGGAGGTACAGCATGAAGTCTGAATACCAGTGCAAATAAAAAATCAGATTTCTGTTATTTTAAAAGAGTAGGGAGGTTCAACAAAAGGAATTTTATAAATGCTTACAGTGGCGGTTCTTTTTCTCGTATGACTCCACATTGAACTGACTTAAAGAAAGTATCAAGCAACGGAGTAGCAATGATAGCAACAGGGAACTAAAGCCAAAGTATGTGTCTTTATATAATATTTTTTTTACAATGCAAACTCAAGGTTGTTCTGTATCTTTTATTAGTGGAGTTGACCTTGTGACATTGTGTTGACCTTTGGTAGCACAAACATGTACACAATATTCTGCAGTAAAACCTTGAATATGTTTTTCATCAACTTTTGTCAACTGTTTCTGTCTATTTCTCTTGTCTCTTTGACTAACCTAGAACAAGATTAGGGAGGAGGATCCTGGCATCACCACAGTCTCTCCTGAAGACGTACAGCAGCTAGACAGATCACCACAAAGTCACTCAGTCCAGGTAATAATCACAATAATGATAAGGTAAAATTCATCATCAGCTAAATCAGTAACACTATTGTTTGATATTGATTATTGAAGTTGACGTTTTTTAATTATCTTTTAATCTTATACCAATTAATCTTGTCCTCTTTAATCATTTTATGCTGACAATTTGTCCATCACTGTTTTTGGAAATAAACCTGATAGTCACCAAGTCCGGGATTTCCACTGGTTTCCAAATTTTGAAAGGTGTATTTTAAAAAAGGGACTTATTAAAGTAAAAATGCTGATCTCTTAAAGAGAATCATTCTTGGTGACAATGATTTATTTCCATGGCTATCTGGAATTGGTTGAACCTGCCTGGTACAGTCCTTTCTCCAAAAAAACATCACCCTAAAACATGCAGTGTCCATTCTAATGGGCTGTGAGGCAGGCTCAAGCGTATTGTTGTTGTTTTTTTGGGGAATTATTCTATTATTGCCTTACTGTAGGGCTGTAAAGACTGGCAAACTGCATATTATATGCTTTGCATGCAGAGATCAGATTAGATCAGTGAGCTTTTGGATGCCTTTGGTATCACATTCTGATTACTTTAAGACTGCACACCTAAATTAAAAGAAACTGTTCATTTATTTATCATGAATATCCCCCCAAAAATAAACAATCCTTTCAAGCAAATACGTGTTTACTAAATTAACATGAAATCCTCCATCAGACTACTTAGTCAAGGTTTTTTCTAGTCTCTGTATAGTTTTTAAAGAGTGAAATTATTTAATAAAAAGTACTTCAAGTCACATGTGTCAGGTTCCACATAAAAGATGACAGATGGTAATTTCATAAAAGATGACAGATGGCAATTTCTCCTCACTGATTTTGCTTAAACATTACAAAAAGGAAAAGTTGTATTTAAGATAATTGAGGAATGAGGAGTCAATAGAAAGATTTGCTTTTCCGTATTCCTTTTAAATTACAGTTTTAATCATATTATTCACTATTATCACTAAAAGCAGGAGGCTTTTCAGGTGTCTAATTCAGAGGAAGAGGAGGATGAGGAATATGAGAGTTGTGACTCGTCGTCCTCTGACACACTAACATGCAGTATTCCAGAGGTAAATCTGAAAAATAATTACAGCTCGAGGAGAGCATGCTTCTGGGTACCTCCTTTTTATTTTGGGTTTCATTCCAAAATGTCACATTAAATAGTGTTAAAAACTGCTGTCATTAAAACTTTATTATTAAAAATGTAATGTACGTAAATCCTCAATACATTTAGCACATGGCAAAGAATTTGGAAAATACAAATACTGATTCTCTTGATTCTCTTCTGAGATTTGGAGTGAAACTCAACATTTCTTGGGCTTTTCTCATACCTTTCCTCCTTTTTTATCTATATTTTGATTCAACTAATCATTTTCAACATTAATATTGGCTCTTTTTCCTGTATTGTGGAAGATTTTCGCAGATTCTTGCATGTTTGTATGAAGCTGTGTCAGACAGGCTGTGCTATGACCTGATGAATCTACTCTGGCACTGTCAGAAGCAGCTGCTTGAAATATGTTGCTTCTCAGAAACCTGTCCTTTCTCTCTCTCTCACACACACACACACGCACACACAATGAGAATGCCATGTATGTGTAAGAGTGCATGGATTCAATTTGCATTTGTGTATTTATACGATTCATGTGTTAGGACCCAGACGAGACACTCAACGTTTCAGATGTGCAGAGTGAGGATATTGCTGACATTAAGCCACTATCAGAATTTAAGGTAAATTATATTCTTCATTTTAGAGATTGGACTTGTTTAATGAGCACTTTGGACATTTAGCACATTTGTTTTGAATCCTTAACTATTAAATTAAATTAAGATTGCAATAAAATCTTATAGATTTTGTTTTTAATTCAAAGAAGTGTTAGTGTGTGTGACTTATTAATTAATAGATTAATCATTTTCAGTAAAATCTTAATTGTCTTCCAGGCTGTTCAGAGTTTGGCTGGTCAGTTTCCCTCTGAAGTGGAGATGAGCTCAAAAGGTGTTGAAACTGAACTTTTATCTGTGAAGCCTGGGTTTGACACTAAAGGATCAGAAATTGTTGAAACTGTATTAATAACATTGGATTCCGATGTTGGAAAAGCATTTAGTCCTAAAACTGTGACGGCACAGTCACTCCTTGCCGCAGCTGAAGACGAGCTCGCTGCTGCTGCTGCTGCTGCTGCTGCTGCTACACTGGACCGACATAGATCACCTAAACATGAAAGCCTTGTCACTTCCCCTCATACAAAGTCCCTTCAGGCAGCTGCTGCAGTGGAAGACACAAGACTGATTCCTACAAGACCTATAACTCCGTTCGCTGCCACAAGAGCATCAGATGAGTTTATAGAGGGAGACGAAGATCTGTCTTTGCCCACAGCTCCACCTCAAGATGTGGTAAGTATCTGAAAAAGAAAAGAAATATCTTCTTTTTTTATTGTTGAACAAATTAAATTAACACTGATTAAAATCTTGGACATGAATTATGTATAATGTGATGTGTCTTATGTTACTTTAAATTTGACATAATATAAACAATAATGCAATAATGTCGCAAATAATTTTTTGGTTTTCCTTTTGTTTCTCTTTAACATTTCAACATTTCAGGTTCATCTTAAGTTGTTAAAGGAGCAAAGGGAAGTCAGCACCAGTCAGAGCAGTTTAGTGGAAGACTCCCAACAAGCCCAGGAGTCGTCTGAGGTGCCGATCAGGTAAAAGAGTGCCAGTCATAGGAACTGGTGACTAACTCACATGCATGTAGCGTCCCATAGACTGAGGCTTATTGTGTCTTTGGTCCCTAGCTTGGCTACACACAAAGAAGATGACGAGGGGCAGCTAAGGTGGAGTCAACTTTATACCCAGATCTCACAAAAACTGACGACTTTGAAAAAAGTTAAGGAGGAGCATCAAACCCTGATCAAGTCAGAAGATGAAGGGACCCATGAAAAGGTAAGAAAATACCTAAAAAAATAAAAAATAATAATAAAAATAATAATTTTTTTCTGACTTTAGGATGGTATAAAAAAAAGTTGAGCATTGGATGAGACATGATGAGCAGTGAGTTGTGACCACAATAGAGAGAAACAAATTCATTTCTAAGATGGATGCTAGAATCAACTCCACCATCTGTTTCTAGGGCAACGGTAGGCAAAACCTTTGGTAAGCAGGTACTATAACAAAGGAGGAGGAAGAGAAGATTTTTTAAGGAATTATTATGTTCCTAGATTTACATCATAGATTGAGAAGGACCAATAGCAAGAATCTTGACATTTTTTTTTAAAATGTATTAGTTGGAACATTTATGTAAGTGATAAAGCAACCACTGAAATATTTTGATGCACATGGAGGAAAATAATGGTCCTTTATGTCAATAAAATTACAAGGGAAAATGTGAGTTTGTGCAAGTGCAGCAGTAGTTTGAATTCTATCCAATTATTCCTTGTTCCTTCATGCACTGTGAAACTTAAACTACTAGTTTCTGGTTTTGTTTAGGTTACAGAAAGGGAGCTGATATCAACCGGATCTGCTCCTGCTGTTCTTCAGCAGACACATGAGTCCATCGTCATGCTGAGACAAATAGTACGTACAATAGTGACCGAGGTTAAATCTTTGCATAGTTTACATACAGTATGTGTTCCTAATCTAAAAGACTTGTTGGTTGATGCACAGATTATTTACTATTTTACATAATACACTGTGTTTCTGATAAATTGTCCCACATATGATCAGCCAACATGGATATCTGTAGCTTAACAAGGTATTTTAAATAAATGCTTTGATGGTAGTCTCACTAAAAGCAAACGTCTAAAACTAAATGGTTGTATTTGTTTATAGTACCCAAAACAGCAAGCTAGAAACCATATTTATAAGATCTGTTTGGTTTAATCATATTTATCAAATATTTCAGTTTTCTATCTATCATTTAAGTAGCAAACTGGAGGAACACAGTGTCATTACTCCCATTATACTAAATGCATAAAGTTAATTTCAATGAATCAAGAACTAAAACGGGAGAAGTTTCTTTGCCATGACAATCATTGCATTTAGTGATATTAATCACTGTGCGTTTGGTTATTTCTCAGGTCACCTCTGTAGACTGTTCACATTCAGGTGTGAATCAGGAATTGTACACGGCGATACGGAGGGTCCTCCTCTGTCTAGATGCTTTGACAGACCTTCTTTTGACTCCTGGTATCGCCGGTGAAGATGATCCCCAGCTGAGGCTGCTACAGCAGGAGGTGACTGACCATTATGCTACTCAAGCGTGCACACACACACACACAGACCTACATAACTGCACATTTTGGTGTCAACTGCATTTTAAAAAATGTGTGTTTCTGACTTAATTCCTGCGTAGTGTGTATCGACTGAGCTGGTGACTCTGGCTGAGCTGTTGAGTAAAGTGGAGTCAGAGACCAGACCTAAGCTCTCAAGGGAAGACCCAGAAGCTCTCCACTGTTTGACCTCCCTTCAGGATTGTCTACACACGGTTCAGCTGGTCTTCACCTCATCCCAGAAACGGCTCATTGAACATCCGGGCATCAAATACCAACATCAGGTCTGAAATATAAATCCGTGACAGAGTTCAATATATTCCAGGAATAAATGTTATTTCTTATCTGTAACCAAATCAACCAACTTTTAGTTAGTTATTATTATGCTGTACCCTACTTAATTACAAATTTGAGGTACTTGTACTTTTTATTTCCATTTTATGCCTCTTTTTATGCCACTACATTTCAGAGAGAAATAATATAGTTTTTACTCAACTATATGACAGAGATGCAGTTACTATTTAGTTTGTAGATTTCACCTACAAAACATACAATCAGTTAATGAAATGTGATTTTTATAGGTTAAACCTTACAGCATAGAAAGACGTTAAAATGAGCTCCCTCTTGACCAACCGTTAATTAAATGCTGCTTGTCATGTAAATGCATCAGTAACAAATATCCAATAATACATTGTAATGTAAAACTGACAGGAGTTATTCTGATGCACAATAAAATAAACAATATTATTTCTTTTTTTAAAAGTACATTTTGGGGATAATAATTATTTTTACTTTTACTTGAGTATAATTTTGAATGTAGGATCTTTACTTGTAATAGAGCATTTTTACTTTGTAGGATTCATACTGAATGAATATTTTTTGTTACTTTTTGTCACACAGGAGCTCTCCTCCAACCAGCTGTGTATTTTGGACGAGTTTGAACTGAGTCAAAGTGAGATGTTTCCCAGCGTAAAGGATGCTCCCAATTTGGAGGTAACCACTGCTTTTCATGAGCTCTCATGACGACAATATTACATGAAGAAGGCCAAATTGGAAAGTTGTTATCAAAGAGCAGAAATTTCAACCATTAAAGGCAATGATAGCATAGCATAATTAAAGGCTAACATTTCTGTTTTTACTAAGATATAAGAAATAAACAAATTAGTAGATCCTTGAAAGGACAAGCCCTCCCACTATTTTGTTTGTGGTGCTAAACGGAAGTCATATAAGTTCCAATGTTGAATACCCAAAGGCAAAAAGGTAGCCCACACACAGATTTTCAGGCCAAAGTGGACTAATCACAATTTCACAGATTTATTCTGTTCTTGTTTCTGTTTACAAAACATGCTAACTAAAATATAGCTTTGACTTTAATTTACAAGTCACAATTACAGACTTATGTCAAAGTAAGAGAGATGCAGGATATGTGTTTCAAAAGTAAATAGTATTTTCCTTAAACTTTGTGCTTTTCCTGCATCTCTCAGCAGTGTGTGCTGGGCAGACATCTGAGGGAGAGTCCAGGGGAAAAAGCCAAGCTACAGCAAGCTTCCCGGTCCTTGCTTCAGGGGATAACTCGCCTCCTGGAACTGGGTGAAGAATGCATAACAGAAGGGCAGATGAGCCAGGTTCACAGCCACAGCAGACTTCAAGCTGTTCTCTGCAGACACAAGGTATCTCACTGTGCTTTCAACAAGTTATTCAACAGGCAGGAAAACACACAGATTTAAGCTAGGCACTTTCCCAAGAGTGTGTAGAAGCCTCTTGATGGTTTACAAAGAGATGCCCAGACTCAAACAACTAATGATTAGACTTTTGGACTATTCTTTGTGTGGTTCGTTTGTGTACTGCTGCTGTGACATGCAAATTTCCCCTTCAGAGATAAATACAGTATTTATCCAACTACGAAGATATTTAGACCTCAGTCACATTCCTTGTCTTTCCTAATTTATCAGGCCTACTTTGCAATTATTAATTCTGCACTTCTGTCATAAATCTGGTCTCTCTGTGATCCAGAAGCTCCGGCAGGTCCTAAGCTCTCAGATGGCTTTTGTGCAGCATCTGTTCCAACGCGAGCCAGAAGCATTCAAGTGTCAGGAGGACGAGCGGGTACAGCTGGAAGTCAGAGCCAAAGCTCTACAGCAACAGGCTCTGGAACAGGAAGTGGCTTCTCAAAGGAAGATCCAGGTTTGTAGTGCACATTTGCTGAGGGCCATATGAATTCATACATGAACATAAGTTTTCTTGTGGAGTCAGAAGATTTCTTATATTGGGTGTTTGTGCTGACAAATCAAAATTTGATGAGTGGGTTTATGGTTTGACCTGCACCAGGAGTGGACCCTATGGGAGGATAATTGTGGTCGACTAGGAAGGCTGCTGGATGATCTTGAAGCCTTCATTGGCAGTGGGGAACCAGAGGGAGATGACGAGAAGTTAGCACAGCACTGGCAAGATGCCTGCCAGGTAAACCTACTGCTTACAAACATACTGAATTTGTTTGTTTGTCTTGGTTTGAGTTTTTTTTTTTTTTACTCATTTGATCTCCTCAGCTTTAAGTACCTCCTAAATCCTGTGCACATTCCCTCTCAGGTTTGCCGTTCTGCTATCTCGTCCCTACTATAATACTGTATGTGTTGCAATATAAGGTTCCCTTTGCTACTAATATGCAGGATGTTGGTGATGATTTTATTTTGAATTTGTACGTCACCTGTCTCCTGATTTATTTTGAGGAACTGACAGATTTGATCTGAATTTTTTTGTTACAGCTAAATGACTAATCACTGAAACATCTCAGTCCTCAGTTTTGTAGAGTTTTCTTACCTTCAAACACAAAGTGGATTTCTTCCTAGAAAAAATAAAAAGAATAATTGGGTGTATGCTGCCTCAACAAGTAATGAAACTGAGGACCACACTGGTGGGTAGATTGGTAGTGGCCCGATCATGAATCCTACAATGATCTTATTCACCTCTTATTTAAAATTTAAATGTCTCTGTCACCTACAGACTTCACCTCTTAATGTTCTTGTAGACTACTTCATCTTTTAAAATCCTCTCTTTCCATTGATCGTATTTATAGTTTCCTCTATAATTTCACCTTTCTGCCATCGTCTGCCATTTTTACGACATTTTATATTTCCACGTACTGTTTAACGCACTATTTTCTATACTTTACATCACAGTTAGTCCACATGGTCCCATAAAAAAAATTCAGGAATTGCCTTGTCAAGAGATTATTCTCCTTTTCACACAGCAAACATTGGTCCAGCTGGATGAGAGCAGAGCTGTTTTAGGACTGCTCCTGGATCAGGGGAAGGTGCTGCAGACAGAGCCAGGGTGTGCTGCCACAGTCAGTCATGCAGGAGGTGCCCTGGAGCTGCGATGGCAGAGTGCCTACAGACGGACAGAGCAGGAGATTAAACGCTGCAGAGATATCCTCGACAGCCGGGCCAGGTGAGACCGGCTCAAAAATACCAACTTCCAACTTACGTTAAAAAGTTGAATACTTCTATCAATGTAGGCTAGGCAGTTTTTATTATTGCCATATCAGTTTGAAGTAAAAATATTGTGTTGCTGATTACTCGAGATCCAGAGCTTTTAAAAGCAATACAAAAGCACAACAACTTGGCATCTAGGCAAGGTCATCTCATGGGGTCCCAAGTCATACTATATGTCTTTAGTTGGGGTTAGCAATGTGAATTGACTTGCACCTATGTTAAAATATACAGTCATATTTGTATGGGTCTAGTATGACCTGGAAACCTTCTCTGATTGTGTGAAGTATATATTAATATAACAGTAGTCTTTAGTTATATCAAAGGATAATATATAACTCATAATTAATTTAGCTTTGAAATATGCCACCCGAAAAACACAATTTGCATCAACAATTGAGCAATCTGTTGTTCACACACTCTAGCGTACATCCATGACCAATGGTGCCAACCATTTACAGTCTTGTTTAACAGTATTGGACCCATGCCTAAGGACCAGTCATGTTCTACCGCCTTGGATGAGCTATCTGTGTCTCTCATCTTCCCTACAGATTCCAGACCGACTTTGCCTCAGTCAGTGAATGGCTGGTTGGTGCCAGAAAACACCAGAAGACTTGGTCAAACCTAACCGACACCTCTGACCTGAACCAGGAGTGCATTCACAACCATCTGATCAAGCTGCTGGTGAGGCTTTCTTGTCTACTCAGCACATTTGTCAATTTTGAAACAAAGTAGCTTGTTAGGTCTGTAGTACAGTATGTATCCCCAAATAACTATATTAAAGTCAAGAAAAAATATGTCTGCTTCAAAAATACAAATAAAAAATGGACTTTAAATTTAAATTGTATTTGGCCTGTCATTACATTGATTTTCAAAACATGCATTTCACATTTCTGACATTTGGTACCAGAATAGATTAAAGAAAGTTGTTACATGAGCAGCCACCATGACAGAATACGTCTCCCAGCGTATTCCCCACCTACACTAACTCAATCTTCATTGGCCTAAAATCAAAGAAAACATACTTCACAATACTTGGCACACTGTGATCTCTCTCTATAAGTGACAGTTCAGGATGTAAGAGATAATTAAACACATTTGTTATGGACTTTACCAGCTGCTGAATGTAGCTAAGACAAGCACGGGTTGATTGTGAAATTAAAACTCATTCAACAGTTTAAAATGCATCAATTACACATGATAGACATGGTTTCTGACACTGGTTCTACTCACATCCCCCCAGGACTTCTCCATGGAGACAGAAGCGATGTCAGTGCAGAGGGCGTCTGTATCCAGAGAAGCCTCTAAGCTGCTCCACCTGAGAGAAGCTGATTGTCCCGGGCTGAGGGCTCAGCTCGCCCAGCTTGAGGTCAGCTGGCTCCAGCTGACCTCGGACCTGTCCACGATACAAGACCGGCTGCAGCAGGTACAGTATTCACAGAAAGTTTCTGCTGGAGAAAAAGTTTCAAATATAAGTCAGTTACACCATAAGATGAATAGTTACACTGTAACTTAAATAAATTACGTCACAATGATCACTTAGGATCTCTTCCTGATAGCTCCTTTTTGCCAAAGAAGCTATGCCAAAGCTCTTGTAAACTTTTAACACTACAGTTTTCCAGTCCTCCAACGAATTAAAATCTAATGGTCCAAATTCCATGGAAGTGCTGTTTGTTTTCAAAAATAATTAGGCACTAAGAAATCCCCTCCAGCCAAGGGGAGTGTAAACCCTGTTGAAATCACATTCAGGGTGATTTAGGACAGGAAATTTGGGAGGACTTAAAAAGGAGGTGAAGGACATTTTTTAATATTTCCTCACCATTTATCACCAGTGAATTGAACCAGATATTCTCCATTATAATAATTACTCCAGTCCTCCCAGGTTTCATTTTGATGTCTTACACTTTGGCAATCACCTCAGGAGAAGATGAAGAAATCTTATCTACCAAAGAAAAAAGAAATAATTTGGACAGGCACAGAAGTCAGTTTGTCATAGGCTGACATTTACTGTATGACTACATACCTGGATCAATTAAATAAGTAACAGCAAAATTAGAAATGGAAAGTATTAGTATAAAGTTAAAATCCCTTTCTTTTCTGTTGTCTTGCTGCTGTTAGCGGTTGCTGGCAGTATGGCCACCGGTCCCGCTGCTGTCTGACCTGGAGGACTGGCTGAAGAAGCTGGAGGCTCGGCTGAGTCTGGAGAAAGAAACTGTCCTCAAGGCCAGAGATGCTGCTCAGATCACTGAAATCCTGCAGCACTACCAGGTACCCATACTTCCACGTTTTCTGTGCATCTCTTTCAAGAGTGATTCTATTTGAGCGGTTATTTCAGTGTCAGCGCTTCTATTTTAAACTTTGCCCAGTTAGTACATTTAGAGAGATTAGCTTGACATTCATTGACATGTGTTCATCCTTAAAATGTTTTACATAATTTCTTTATCTTCTTTGAGAGAAACTAGTAAAAATGTTTCTGTTTCACATTCATAATTCATTTACTTTGAAAGGCTCGTCAAAAAAAAAAAAAAAGCTTGTCACTGCAATAAAAGCACTACTAATGAGATAAGAACTACAGTATGGAAATGTGTGAAATGTTACACTGGAGATATGTTTCTGGTCAGACACCTAAAATAAAAAAAAAATGTAAATCAAGTTGCCTCCATAATATATGAAGTGGATGACACAAATATGCAGATATAGAGAAAAAAATAACTTTATTTTATTTTTACTTTATATGAGTGTTTGTATTGATTTCTGTCTATGTAATGTTTTTTCTCAGGAGCTAAAGGCAGGTATGGTCAATGGGCAGCTCCTTCTTGATTTCCTGTGTCAATCAGGACCTCGGGTGGTGGGAGTGGACGTCCAGGCTCTCCGCTCTGAACACACAATGTTTGCAGAGAAACTTGGCGCCCTCAGACTGCAGTGGCTGGAACTTCAGAGAGAGCTGGAGAGCCAGGTCTGTTCTTCAGCTACTAGTATACAGTATTACACTAAAGTTTGTAGAATCTGAAATTAAATCACCCAACAAACCATAAGCGTTTAATTTAAGCTTGTACGGTTTAAGTCTTAAAATGGATTTAACTTTTCATTGACTATTTTTATTTCTACACATGAATCACTGTTTGGTCTTTGTCCCTTCAGATTTGTGAAGCTGAACAGATGCATCACACTTGCGCAAACAGAGAGAGGCAGTTACAGCGTCTTCACAGTTGGATAGAACAGCAGAAAAAGCAGCTGAATCAGAGGAAACAGCCCACTGGTCAAACTCTGGCTCATAAGGCTCTGCTGGAGTTGGAGGTACGGTAACAGGATGTAAGCAGGTCTATGTTTGAACTGTCTCTCTTGCTGTTGCCCTCTGATCTGAGACTGCTCTGGTTTTCTTCCAGACTGTTGGGGCCAGACTGAAGGAGGTGGCTGCAACTTTACAGGAGTTGAAAGCCACACGGGTGCATCTTGAAAAGAAAGATCACCCCAGTGATATCTCCTTTTCTGCCCAGACAGAGAGGGTTTGTCATGCTTGTGGGGATCTGAGTCAACAGGTAAAAATACATCTGTTATGGCAATCAGACATGGCAAAATGTGTTTGAAGAAGGTGAATTAAAGTTATTTAACAAGATATTAAAGATGCCTTTTCAGATTAACTACAAACATGGCTCCTTCTTATATTGTGAAAATCCAGAAGGGTCCACTTGTCTCTGCATTAGCAAACTCATCATCCTCGTCTTTCTTTGTGCTAATTTGTGCTAATGCAGATGGAAGCTCTGAGACCAGCGCTGCAACAGACTGTGGAGGAGTGGAGATGTTTTGAGAGAGATCTGAGGGAGGTTTCGCTGCTCACCACTAGGGTGCGCTGTGCTCTGCAGCATCAGCCTCTGTTCTCACTAAAGCAGGCAGAAGGATACATGGACCTGCTCCAGGTGAGCAAATGCTTTAACCATCCAATCAAGAAATAATCATATGCTATATTTTATCATAATGAGCACCACAGTAATTCATGGCTGTTAACCAACAATTTAGAAAAGCCAAGAAGTTACTCTAAAACAACAAGTTGTTGTGACTGAAAGTTAAATTCCCTTTTATTTAGTTGTTACAGATTCTCTAAAGGAGTGTGCTCTAATGGATGTCAAGCCCTTGGTCCTTGTCTGTTATATACTTTGGGGACGTTAATGCACCTCTGAAATGAAAATGTAAAAGGGTTTTTTTATGCACAGCTACTCCAGGAGAAGGCCGGAAAAGGGAAAGAGCTTTGGTCATCCGTGGACAAATCCTATCAGAATCTTGTAAAGACACTCCACCATGAAACAGCTCAGGCACTGGTTGATCAAATGGATGGAGAGCGAAAACGGTCAGTATGTCAGTTCATGACGATCCATTCTTTAGTTTAAAAACAAATTAAAAAAACAAGTATCTCCCAATTTGGTCATTTAGATTTAGAAAAAAGTATCCTTATTTTTACAACATACAACATCTCCAAATGCTAAAACAGGGCTGTTTGCTTAGCTCATGAAAATACATACAAATACATAGAGGAGATACAATATTTTCAGAAGATAGCAATGCAATATGAATATGTTTCCATGTATACCTGATATTTATTGTATACATGAAATTTTTATCAAATGTTAGTAAAGTCATTTTACTACCACTTAATCAGTATGCACACAAACATAGAGTTATCTAGAGTTATATAGTTCTAATGTATTGTGTTTGTGTCAGGTGGAAGGATGTGGTGCAGCAGTTAAAGGATGAGCACATGAAGACTAGAGAGACACTTTCTCTCTGGCAGGAGTACACTCGCCTCTCTGATCGATGCTCCCTTCACCTGCAAAAACTGTGGCATCAGTGGGAGGAGATTTTGAGATCTTCACCTCAACAGGACACACAGGCCTTGGTGCACTCAGTAGAGGTGAGTTCAGGGTACTTTTAGCAGAGTTTTGAATATGCAGTCTGGTCTAAGTGTTTACATCAAGGTGCAGTGATGTGTACTGAGACATTTTACAGTAAGTTGATTTCTTCTTACTTGTCAAGATAATTTTTTTACAACAGATCAAGTGGGAAAGTCCAGCAACTGATGTATCTGAGCAACTGAGGAAGCCTTTTTTATTTTCCAAAATATTTTTATTGGAAAAATACAATACTTTCAATCACAGAGATACAATTTGCCTTTTCCTTTTTTTTTTAAACATATATGCATATGTACACGGTTCAACTGAGGAAGCTTTTATCTTGAAATTTAGCTCTATTGCAGAAACATTTGTAAGTTTGTGGTGTGTTTGCTTTCATATTAAGATGAATCTGGTATAACTTCTTTTAAAGTAAGAACTGGCAGTTGAAGTGAAACCAATTTCTGGCATTGTTGAAGGTCACTGGGTGCAGACCTAGTTTGATAATATGCTTATTAGACTGCTTGTTTTTCATACAGTTATGCAGTTGTTTCTTTTAGAATTATCAGATTTCGTGCCTGACTCATCCTGAAACCCTGTGTTGATTCAGAGACTCTATGCATTACATTCACAATTTAATTTAATGTTTTTCTTAATGACTGGTTCCTTAGAAAGGAACGGACTGTTCACTTACTTGTGCACTTATGGGCAGAAATATCAGCAATGGTCTGCTCTGTGTTCACTCTGATGTTGTACTTACCTTACTACCTGCATAATCCAGATGCTGAATTACATGTTTTTTTGCACATTGATGCAAAAACACAAGCTTCATGGTATTTGTTTTCCATTTCTACCCTCTTCAAAAGTACACTGAGAGGTATATTTTGGGATACTTTAGTCGGAGCGATTTTGTGAAAAACAAGATTATTATGTTCAAGAGGGGAAAGAAGCAGCTGTGATGTTGTGATCTTTTTTGGTGCATTGATGAGTGTTTCGAAAGATGATGGCAAGCAGTTAATACTGAGTAATTAGATTCAATTAAAGGTCACAAAACAGTAAACAGAAGGATTAAAGAACAGCATTTCTCCATTGTTGTCCTTATCTTCTCACTCCTCCATCTAACTGGTTGTTCTTTCCCTTTCCTAGCAGTTGCAGGATGCTGCTGAGGATTTGCAAAGCAGTGTGGGAGATATTCTTGCGGCTTCCAAGCCTCTTATTGGACGGCTAGAACCCACAGCCGCATATTTAATCCAATCAGAGACTAGACTGCTGTCACGTAATGTCGTGCTGCTGAGTCAGGCAATGTCAGGGAAAAAGAAAAGTCTTCAGGTGAGGAAATGAGTCGAAATATCAACTTAATTTTACAATAATAACAGAAATATTGGTTTTAAATGTAATTTTTTTCAATAGTTGTAAATCAGACCAACTTTTCTCACAGTTCAAAAATTGGTGAAAGATCCTCTGTACAACGACTAATATTAAAATCTATCTATCATCTTGACATTGAATTGATACAAGTGTGTAATGCATGGAGACCAGTTTCCATGAAGTTTAATGTGAGACTTAATGGTCAAGTTTGACAAATCCAGGTTAATACTAATATGAGTTTTCTGTGTGCAGGAGGATTTGGAGCAACAGAAACTATTTCATACCCGACTGGAGGCCCTCGAAATGCAGACACAGAACATACAGCATAAACTTAAGGCCAGCTTGAATGACACAGACTATGTGAAGGTTGGTCAGAATCTTTATTTTTACCCATAAATGATCTTTCCTCTACATTACTTCTGCACATCCTCTTTAAATCTAAAGGAGAGGTTTTCAAACTAAAGTTGAGTTGGAGGAAGAGACAGAGTGAGGACAGACATGATGCACTTATTTTTAGATTCAGACTGACTTATACTTCTCGAGAATATTATCTCTGATTATCTTCCATCGTGAATAAATCCACTCAGAAATTAATAGGAGGGAGGGGGTTAGCGGCAGTTTGCTCATGGACTGAAAATGCCCTGTATGTTTTTTATTTCTTGGATGTGTAGCAGGTTCTCTTGGAGCTCAGTGGTGTGTCTGTGTCACTGGTTGACATCAGAGAGATGAGTGGTTATGTGACCCTCAACAACCATGAGACTGAGAAACTGCACATGCTCAGCAGGCAATGGGTTGAAAGCATGACTTATACGTCTGACATGAACAGGTGAGACATTTCCAAAAGATGAACAAATAAAAATCCAGAGAGTGTACAATTGTGTTGTATTTTCTTCGTTGTTGCTGCTTGAATTTGCTAAGAAAAAGAGCTGTAACCAATATTTCTTTATGGTAGTGTTTAAAATCAGTTCTGGCTTTGTGCATAAAGTCAAAACATCCCCTGTTATTTTACAAGATGTGTAAGGCTTTAATGACTTGAAATCTTGTAAGACTTTTCCAATCTTTGTGTGAACTGTAACATTATAAGGCATTGTGCAGTTTTGTTCCTGACTGCCATTCTAGGGAACAGTCTATTATCGTCACCTCATTTTGTGATGGAATACAGAGGATGTGTGCATTTTGAAAGCTTCCAGTTGTAGTCTAATTTTGTGTCTCATATTTTTTCCCCCCAGAAAGCTGCAGGCTGAGCATCAGTGTTCCCAGAGCTTTCAGGAGAAGTGTAAAAACCTGACGTCTATCCAGAAGAAGCTTGAGGAGGAATCAATGTCCATAAAACCTCAAAGTTACTCCGCCCTCCTAGAGATGCTGACTGTGCATCAGGTACAATACATTTCTATTCTGGGACATCTTCTGGGACCAATGTCTAAATGCCTTTAGGATTTTACTTCTAGAACTCATCTTATCACTCTGTTCTCTCCTTAAAAGTAAAGTTAATCCATCTTTTGTCACTTTTAATGGGAAAAACTAGTGTTAAATTGTTTGTTGATAAATTGTTTGTTGATAAAGGCTTTCCCTCCCCTACATCTGCAGATTAGTCTGATAAACAGCTCATATGCATACTGCCAATGTGTTACTACGTGTTGACAAAGAAATATTTGCTATTAAAGTCTTGAAGTAGCTAAAGTCAGCACAAACACTTGTTTAATACTTCACACAGGACGTTAGGAGTGCAATTTGTATAAGTGAATATTATTTTGAAGTTTGTTGTAAAATCATGCTGGTATTATTGCCTACTAATGAGTCAAATAAGTTAAACTAGAGAGTTGATCTGAATCTCATTTTGTTCTTTTCTCCTGTTGTTTCCCACTCCCACAGAGGCTTAAGGCTGAAATTAATAATGGACAGCAGGTTCTACAGGGTCTACTCTGTCATGCAGTCGCATCTATGGAAAAAGAAACAAGAGAGAAAAGGTATGTTTCTTGTAATATTAAATGGTTTGATACTTTACAACAATCTTTTATATGTGTAACAAGCTTAATGAGCTTTGGGTTTGAGAGTCCAAAATACTGCTTAAATAGCTTCCTCCTACAAGCCCTAATTGTCCCTGGTTTTTCCCTTAATCTATGTCTCCTTTTAGGATAGAATAAAAATAAGAATGAAGTTAATAAATTCACAAAGGATCATAGCATTCCTCAGATTCAGGAGTATGCTCAGTTCAGCATAGTCTTTGGTTTGATTGCTGTCTGATTCACAGGAACTGCAGGTGTTTTGCACCTTATTGGCACCAAAATCACACCCATAATTCTAATTTATTAAATAGTTTATGATTGCACATTGAAATATTGAAAGACAAAGAAGCCATATTTTATTGTCAGTTGCGTCAAGGCACAGGTAGTGCTGGAGAAATAATTTATTGTTGCGTCAAGAGGGAGCTAATTACCACTAAGCCTTGCAGCTATACCAGCTACTTATAGGCTGCTCTGTGGTGCGCTGCCAACTGACTGCTCACAGATTTGTGTGGGTCTCAGAGTATTAAGTATTCAACATAAAAAAAAAGACGCACGTCAGCTTTCTTGTGGTAGTGATTTCTTTGTCCATCTCGCCCTCCACTCCAAGGTTCAAGGTTTTTCAGCCTCTGCAGGCTCATAATTAGATTAGACCCAACCTTTTGACGTTAAGCAACAAATAAACAGGACAATGACGACAATCATGTGACCATGTGAGTTGTCTGTAAGGAACATTTCAGTAGTAGTAAAAAGGGAACCTGAAACTGGATGGTACAGGGGGATGCATCATTGTCACAGTAATATGTATCCAGTTCTAAGGAGGGTTGTCATTCGTCCATACAGATTGATGAATGTTTTACTAATCAAATAATTTTTGGGTATTTGGAACAAAACCAGCAGGTATCTTACTGTCACCAGCATTTAAAAAATATTTAGCTTTGTTTGGGTGCCTTGCAGCAGAGAAACCTGAGTATTCACAGCGTTTTAATTTGTAGTCTTGTACTCTTCACAGACCCTGTCACCTAATAAAGTAATTATATTTGAGATTTTCCGGTTGAATTCCTTTCTTGTAAGACATCACACATATTGGGTGTACGCTGACACACAACAAAATGCAGTGTGTGCAGGTGTTTCCTGCTCTGGAACAGTTAGATGTCTCTTTCCCCAATGCTTCCTTAAATCAATTTTGCAGTCTTTGGACAGCTTGGAAAACTTTCCTTTCGCTCCTTAAAAAAAAAGCCTTCTCTCACCCCTGCTGGGATTGCTTTTTAAGGCTTTAAGACTGTCTTAAAATCCTGCTGGGTTTGTGTTGATTTAGCAACTGCCTGTGAATGAACTATGACAGACCCATTTGTAATTTTTCTCATTCTACCGTTTTATTTGTTTTTTTTATTTTTATTTTGTCTGTGCTATGCTAAATTCCATTTTACAAAACCTAATATCCCTATAGAGCTCACAAAACCTTTCCACTCATCCCTCATTTTATATTGAATAATATTGCATGTTTTCGGATGGATGACAACAGGTTTGCCAACAGGTGTCAATAGCCAACAGCAATACCAATGTTTTTCCTACAAATATAACAAATTTGAACCGCGTGTGTTGTTTCTTGCACAGATCTGAACTCATGGCACAAGTGACCGGTGTCAGGGAGAGCTGGCTCAGCTCTGTGGCTCTGGTTGGCCAGTGCAGGTCCTCGACAAAAGAACAACTGAGCCAGTGGAGAGTCTACCATCGTGGCTTGAAGCTGTTGTGGAAGCTGTTGAGGGACGTTGACTCCTTGTTGCCTCCCGCTGGACCTGCTCTGTGTACACTGCATCAGCTACGGAGCTGTGCAGATGACTACCAGGTTAGCATGCATGGGTTCCAGTGAATGTGCACTGTATTCCTAAAAACTTCTTTTGTAGTGGCACAATAGTAAAACGCTAAACACCAAGCACTGTGTCTCCCTGCTTCTTTCCTAGTGTGTTGAGTCTGCACTTGGTCTGCACTCTGCTGTGTACACTCAGACACTGGAGGCTGGCAGACATTTAAGTAAAACCATGACAGAGTCAGAGTGTCAGAGCCGACTGCAGTCAGAGCTCCACGCTGTACAGGAGGCCTGGGAGCGAACCACCTTATTGCTGGAGAGGAGACGAAACCTGGTCAACACAACTGTTCAGGTAACGGCCAGATTTTCCATCAAAGCCAAAGACTTTTCATTTCATAAAATCTTATATTATATATTGAAATATTTTACAATAAAATCTCTTTTTTAATTATTTTACCATTGACAAAATGTATTTACTGGCAAGAAAATCTAAATGTCACAATTTATACAATGTAATCATTCGACTAAATAGGAGCTCCAAAAAAAAGTATGAAGCTTTTCATAATAAAATAAAATAAAATAAAAATCAACTAAACATGGCAATCTGACTAACATGCCTCTGAATTTAACTCAATCAAGGAACAACAGGATACAAATTAATTCGTAACAATAGCCAAGGGACCTTACTGACTCAACTGATGGCTGATGATGACTAATCCCGATTTACAAACATTCAGAAATAGTGTTTTGATTGTTAGTTGTCCTTAACAAGCAGCAGAATCCAGTGAAACATATTTTAACTTACAGTTTTAGCTTATCGAGGGCTGACTGACATTATCCACAAGAAGAGCATGTGTGACAGTATTAACAAGGGACTAAGAGGTGTCAGTTTTGCATGACCCATATCCAGGCCCTGATCCTACCCCAACACACACACACACAATGTATGCCACACAAAAAAAGGTCGTAACATACTTAAAAAAAACTCCAACGTTTTGCACTACGTTTTCTTTTCCAGCTAATGGGCAAAAAAATGTTTGTATTATACGCCTTCCAAACGGTTGGTTTCTCGTCCTCCGGCGGACTTTGGAGGCAGCGGCTGTTTGTCTTTGTTTGCTCATTCTTGATCTTTATGTTATTCCCTCTTGACACTTGAGGATCCATTTTTCTTTATTAAATCTAATGGAGAAACGGAAAGGGAAGGAGGATCTCGAGTCATGATTAACAAATATCTGACCACGTTATTCATGCATTGACCGTGTAGATTGTGAATTTAACCATCAAAGGGCTTGGACCCTGGCTATGAAAACCTTTAGTTACAGTCATGTTGTTGCAGTCGATCGTATACGATATATAACAGATGAACATTACGGGACATAAATCACTGCAGGAGCCCGTTGTAATTTGTTTTTGTTTTATGAATATATATCATTTATGATATATAAGTTTATGAGGGCAGTTTTTCTTTTTTATATTGGTGGGCTTCCTAGTTTATGCCAATTAACATTATACTTTTTTTTATGGTGATTGTGTCATTTTACTTTGTGCATATTAATGGTACTCTCTGTGTTGGTCTTTTGACATGATATGCTCAGAGGGATTCCCTCTCCGGCTGGGTGGATTGGCTGTTTAGGCTTAAAGGGGGTATAACACAACTTCCCTGACCGTACTGGGGCCTTAGCCACCAAAACATTGAGAGCTGCCGTAGACTCTGTGGCAGCATCCTCTATAATTCTCACAACAGTGATGCAGTCAGAAGTGGGGTAACAAGGAAACCCTTTAAACTAAAATTTCAGGCATGTCAGCTTAAGTATTAACAAATCAGGCAATCTCTGCCGCTTTGCTGCCTGACAGCAGCGAAACAACTGGAACGGACGCGGGTGATGCTTTTCGCTGGCGCAGCCGGTAACACGATTAGTCATGTGTGTGGTATGTTTACTTTATTCTGTTATAAATCTTCTTGATTAGGGGATTTCCTGTGGGGTGGCACATGCCTTACTTCGCTATGGTTATTCATTGAACAACAGTGCAGTGTAACAAGGCTGGATGGAATGAAAGGACAGCTTGGACAGTCAAACACTAGGGTCCTGGGTGTGGGTGTTGGTGTCGTGTGTGTGTGTGGGTGTGTGTGTGTTTTGACGGTGAGTGTGTGTGTGTGTGTGTGTGTGT